TTACATAGAATGCAGGTTTAAGAGACTTCCATGTTGGCTTCACTTCACAGACCCAGAAGCTCTGTCCATTATAGATACATGTCAATGGTCTTCACCAGTGCCACTGGTAATATTAGTGTGTTCTCCAGTATCACCCCGATTATTATTAATTATTTTTATTACTTGTGTATTATTTTTCAAGTAAATTAAAGGTTCCAACACTTAGTAGTAGAAATATAAAATGACTTTGAGACAACACTAACATTAACTATAATAGCATATAAACTAAACTGCAGCATTAACTTTTGCTTGTAGCCAAGAACAGTATTCATAGAATAATGAGCAATCAGTCACGCCTCAAAGCCCCTATGCAACATCTTGGTATTTTTCTGCATGTATAGCAAAGATCAACAACAGTGAGTGTGAAAGAGAGCTGGTATCACCTGCAGCCAAGTCAAGGTTTTCAGTATTGAACTGTTTCAGCTGTGAGTGCATACAGTGACAATAAGCTCTTCACCAGTCAGTCACCACCTGCTCTGCACTGTTTTTGGTTGGAGTGCCCCCAGTTTGATCGCTGGCAGTTTAGTTGTATCTCAAAGTTTTTGCGACACAACTGATATTGCACCAAAACCTTATGCCTATTGTTGGCAGAGCAGCACGTTACAGCAGCTACTCATTGTGAACCCAATTTTCATAGCACCGACCTTGGAGGAAAAAGACAGACGAGAGACGTTCTGCTGCTTCACATGGCACTCACACTGCAACCGCAATCAGCTGCGTGCAGGAGGACTTTTATTAATCACGCCCACAGACAGGTGGCTCGTCAGTGTTAATCACAAATTAAATCACAAATAAAGTTTGCCCATCATTGATGACAAATAAACATTCAATAATTGAGAGCACCATTCAACACCCATCTTTGTGCATGGTGGCCTCACATACTGGTGGCTCCATGAATACAGGCTTCGCCACCAGACCTTTCACAGGCCTGGCTCCAGGAGGAAGCCCCAATTCCTTATTACAATGAGGTTATTAACATTTCTGTTATAACATTAACCAAAAACATGAATCTGCATTTATGTGGTGAAAAGGACTCAGAGTTTAGGACTTGAACTTGAGTTCACTGTAAAAAAAATAAATAATAATAATTCAGAGTCATGGCTTAAGACTTTACTTTTGACTTTCAGAACAGTACTTTCTACACCCAAACATGGCTGCATTCTACAAGGAACTGTATCTCAGTTTTGATTGGTCATGTTCTGCTTGTTATGTTTGTGTTACTGCCAGAACATCAGTATAAAGGTTATGCAATCGCTTTTGTTTGTCTCAGTAGGGAGGAGAGGTTATAGCATTCTTGAGTTTTCTGTTGATTGCCAATCTCTCAGATGGAGAACGGAATCTGTAAGATGACTGGAATCTGTCTGATATGGCAAAATTGTATATACAAAATAACAATTACACATCACAACATCACATTCATTCTTAGCTCTTTTTTAATGGGTGTTCTGAATTACAGAATCTCTGGACATGTTTTGGTATAGGATAATTATCTACTAAAAATATCATATATTAGTAAAAGAACCAGACTTTTCTATAACTAAATTCTATGACCATTGATTCATCTGTTGTTTAAGCTGCTTATCATGTGCAGGGTTGCAGATATTCTATAACAAAGAATTGTTTTAATTATTTAGTCGTAGTAATTGTCTCCACTAACTTTTGAAACACTTGGACTTTAACATTGCTTTGCTCTTTTGCAATCACACATCCTCAAAAGACAAATTAACTAATGCATGTTTTTGTCTTATTACTGGAATCATGGAAAACTTAACACAGATTATGTCATTTGTGTTGGGTATGTATGGTAACATGGGACAGTTAAAGTACTTGTATTTCACTCTGGCAATGCTGTTTTACATATCTGTTATTTTTTCCAACACCATACTTATTGTCATTATTTATATGGACAGAAATCTGCACGAGCCCATGTATCTATTCCTGTGTAATTTGTTTGTTAATGAAATATATGGCAGCACATCTATGCTGCCTTGCTTGATGGTTCACATCTTGTCAGAGACTCATGAAATATCTGCCCATTACTGCTTCATGCAAATATTTAACATTCATACATATGTAGCTATTGAATTTGGAACGTTAACAATAATGGCATATGACAGATATATATGTATTTGCAAGCCTTTACATTACAATGTCATAGTAACCAAAAAAATAGTACAAAAGGTCATTCTTGTTATTTGGACAGTTTCTTTCATAGAAGTTGGAGTTTTACTGTCATTCACTATTCATTTAAGGCGTTGTGGGACTATTATCAACAAAGTTTTTTGTGCACATCACCTTGTAGTTGAACTTTCCTGTTCATCAGACAGAACAGTGTCACTTATTCACGATTTGGTATTTGGCCTCATTTTCACTGTTGCTGCTCCTGTCAGTTATATTGCATTCACTTATGTCAAAATTTTGGCAGTGTGTTCAAAAGCTTCCAAAGAGACCAAAATGAAGGCTTTTGATACCTGCACTCCACATTTTATTTCACTCATCAGCTTCGTCTTTGCCTGTTTTTATAGTTTGATCACTCAGAGATTTAACATGTTCTCTGTTCCGTACCCACTGTGTGTTTTCTTGTCTATGTATGTAGTGATCATTCAGCCTCTTCAGAATCCACTCATGTATGGTCTTAAACTGTCAAAAATTAGACATGCTTGTAAAAATGTGTTGACATTAAAGACATCACAACTCTACATTTTCATGGAGAGTTTAAATTCTACATTTTATTACTAGTGTTACGTGTTTACATGTAGACATACAATACAGTTTAGATTTTGAACATCTGTTCTATTGACAATAAAATGTCATTGTATTACAAAACTGAAATCTTCTGGGGTTGTTGATCCTGTAAGAGGTTTATTAATGTCACTAAGAGCTAGAAATGAGATTAAAGATCTATACAATGTATAACTGGAGGAGTTAGTTCAACTCAAATTGTTTGAGGAAACTGATTGCCTTAAACTGTTTAAATTTATTACCTCCAACAATTTAAGTATTAAAAAATATTTGATGAGTACAAGTAACTCAAGTATTTATTGTTAAGGTAACTTAGGTAAATTGAGGTTATAGTACCAATTTCAACTCAGGCAGGACTCTTAAACTAAAACTAGTAAGTATATTACACTTATATGCAGCATTTCTCCAGACTTAAAATGTGTTATTTATCTGAATAAAGTAAGACTACCTTTAATGCATCTTCTTTATACAGATGTTACCACTAAATCTTCCACTAAAGGAAATTATTATAATACCTGTCTAAAACAACTGACGTATGATACAAAATACAAAAAACATTTACAATTATCAAAATGGTAGCCAATTCATTTTGGGGCTTACATTTTTGTAATGATATAAAGTCAACTTAAAGTCAATGGAATGTACAGTGTAGGGGCCAGCAAATAGTTGCATGAAGGACGAATGTCAAAATCAGAAAAAAGCTTTATTGACATACAAGGAATTTGTAATAATAATAATCTTTATTGTCCACAAATTGGCTTCACATGTTGGTTAAAACACATCATTGTAAATCACAGTACAAACTACTACAAATAACATAACATGCACAGTACAGTCAATGATAATGGATATGGTTCCTGTGTGAGACGTGTTTATGAACTGAGCAAAGAAAGACTTTTTGTAAATGTTCTTGGCTGCTGCAGCTGCTCTACAGTGCGTCCTAGAGGGCAATCATTAAAGAGGGGATAAATTCAACTTGGTTTGTCTTTGCTCTCAATTATAAATTGTTATATTAAATACTAGGAAATAACAGCTAAAAACATTTTCGACAAACCATTTTCCCTTTTTTAGCAACATCTTTGCTTGATTTAAAAAATATATATTATATATATATATTTATTGCCTTTAATGGATAGTGACAGTTGAAAACAGACAAGAAAGGGAATGACACACAGCAAAGCTAGGGCTAATTAACAGATTAAGAAGTTTAAGGTCCAGTGTGTAGGATTTAGTGCCATCTAGTGGTGTAGTTGCAGATCGCATCTCCCTTGCTTCACCCTCCCCTTCCAAGTGCAAATAAGACATTCTGTGGCGGCAAAACCCGCAAAAAACAGTGTTTGGTTTGTTACTTTAGGGCTACTGTAGAAACATGGCAACTCAACATGGTGGATACCATGGAAGGTTACCTGTGGCAACAAAAACACAACAATTTTTATTTTAAGGTGATTATAAAATAATGAAAACATACCTATGAATATATTCCCTGTAGTGGAGTGAGCAGGGGTGGGATGGGGGCCTCAGGTCCAAGGTTCTTTACAGTTACAAAGGCTGGCCCAGTCATTCTTATGTTTAGGATCATATCCACTAGACATATAGCAAATGGAGGAATAGCAAACCAAAAATGCATTCCAGTAAAACAACACTAAAGATTTGTGGGGACATTTCACGTTTTGATTTTCTGTATGGCCCCTCCCCTTTAAAAAAAAAAAAAAGAAAATGCGTGCACACTAATATTTATTGTCTGTTTTTTAATGACTCTATATGTAATTCTATAAATCCTTTCATTTCCTTTCATGTATGTATTTTCCTGTTCCTGTATGTTTGTCATATATAAAATAAACTGCATTTTTGTTGTTGTTTTGTATTTTGTCACGACCTGGCTCTGGAGCCGTGACAAAAGATGAATGGCAAATTATAAGTAATTTGTTTTAGCATGTCTTTTTAAGTCAGTGAGCAAGAGACCTTGGGTCCTTTAAATGGCGCTATATAAATTAAAGTTATTATTAATTATATTATTATTTTTATTATTATTATTATTATTATCATTATTATCATCAGGCCATCTATTTATCAAAGAGTTATACAGTCTGATGGAGTTACATTTACACAGTTTCACTCATATCTGCAGTCCATTTCAATTAAAAATTCAACTGATTCATAATCAGAGTACAACTGCGTTTTTGGAGATGTGAATTAACTATTTGGATTGTAATTGTGATGTTTCAGCGGAGCGGTGAGTGTACTTAAAAAATACTGTAAAATACTTTGCCACGCCTTTTCTCTTTGCTTTATCACTGT